TTAAAAAATCTGTATCATTTGGTATCGATATTCTATCTGTATAATGAACACTGCACAACAAAATGCAAATGTGTGATAATTGCTGGCGTATAGGACTATTTTTTCAGTATTTCATCAATAAGGTAGATTGCTAATCTTCACTGAATTTTACTGGGTGAAATATCCATTTGCAAATATTTCTTTTCGGAAGCTAAGAAAATGCATGCTGGAAAATGAGTCTGCAATTTAAAGTTTATCTCCATTGATATTTTGCTTAGCTAAAATATTTTTAATTGCATTTGCCTTCTGGATATGCAGTTCTTATCATATCAAATTATCATGTAATCTCCAGGGTCTATAACACAACATATGTGTTTATTAGCCAATGATATCTGATGTGGCAGTTTTAACTATACACGGAGTTAGTCAGCTACCTTTAGGATCCGCATAGATGATTGATTTGAGAGCTGATGTTCCTCTCCCTTTTGTTTTCAAATGCACACAGATGTCCTCAGCAGTGTTCACACTTTGGTGCAGTTTTTTTTTTTGTAACTCTCAATCAAATTAAATGTTAAATTACATATTGTAATCACATAGTGTACATTTTATACCATGACAAGTTTTAATAATAGATTTTTCTTTTTAAGGAAGTACCTTTGATGCAGTCTCATCAAACAAGAGAGTCTGCCTTAAAAGAAAAAAAAAAAAAAGCAAAAAAAAAAAAAAAGCTGTTTCATTTTATATTGGAAAAATACAATGTGACATCTGGAGAATAAATTGTTCAGTCAGCCAGAAATACGCCTTGTAAAAATTGCTTAGGTTTCTGTAACAAGATTATTTACTGCGACTGTTCACCTATAATACAGCACACTTCTGAAATGGACCTTTTATGAAACACATCAAGCACTGTGGAAATGTATTCAGTGCATTAATCTACAACACTATGCACTTTACAATACTTCTAGAACAGATTTTGAAACTCACACCATCTAATGAGACAGAAAGCTTTTTCTTTATATTCATTCTAGTCACATTTTATGCTAAACCTTCATGTTATTTAACATAATGCAATAGGGTTTTGTTTTGTTTGTTTTTATAAAATGCAAACAAACACAACATATTACCCTTCAGTAGACAAGTGAGCTCAGGCTGTTCTCTGCTTGTTTCCGTTGCCTGTGCATAAGACAGAAGCCGTGTGTACCTTGTGCTCTAGAGCTTTGTAAATGTTGAGGCACCTCAAAATGTATCAGTTTTAATAATGGGCATGTGCAATTAGTGGCAAGAGCCAATCATGACCTTTTAAAGCCAAGAGCCTAATATGGAGAGGGTAAAATTGCTAAGAGTCTAGGTGTCTCAATGAAGAATCACAGGAAAAATTGAAGCAGTGAAAGGGACACATTTTCACCTTGTTCTTAGCACTGGATTTGCAAAGAGCTAAATGTTTTCCATAACAAAATGGTTTCTGGATCCGAGTGAAGCCATAACTAGAGACAGGATGAAAGCTGATTCAGGAAATATGCAGTTCTAATATGTGTGAATACTTATTGTCTAAATCCCAAGCAAGACAGCCATGAGAAAATATTTTTTTTTCTTGTAACGTATGTCATAACAAAGTAGCAAGGGTGATTCTTGGTAGGGGATTCATAATCACTGCATTCAAACTGTTAGATGGTTAGTGAGTTAGGCTGCTAAAGCAACAGAAATGGTGATTGTCACAAAAGAGGTATTTTACAGTTTCTAAACACAGAAGGCAGTCTTTAATTGCTTTCTTGCCTGAAAATAGAAAGAATATTCACGATTCATTGCATGAATCACATGTTGGAATGCTTGATTCAGATATTGGGTCTGGCATATTTTGGCAAGTCAGAGTGTCCCAAAACAGCTTATTTTCTCAAGAAGTCCATTACAAAAATGAGAATCAAGATCATAAAATTCCTGAACTGTCAATTGTCATTAGGGATGTAGGTTGTAAGAGAAACCAGATGGAGCATAGGAATGCAGCACACAAGTGAAAAGTATATAAAAATGCACTTAATTTTCAGTTCAACTTTCCTTTTGTTCCAGCAGCATGGTTTATAAGAGGATCTCAGCACAGGTAAGTTAAGGCCTACCTCCAGCCTTTGGGATATGCATTCAAACCTGCCCAGATCTCCTGCTTGCTTAAATTATATCATTATGGATAGTAGTCCAAAATGCTTGTGAGTTTTTGGAATAGGATCTCAACCAAGAGATTGCAACTGTGGTTGATGATTAGGTTAAAAGAAGATATTACCTTGCTGTTATTTTAAGATGATATGAGTGTGGTGAGGCAATGGAGCATGTTGCCTAGAGAGGCTGTGAATGCCCCATCCCTGGAAGTGCTCAGGACCAGGCTGGATGGGCTTTGGAAAATGTGGTCTAGTGGATTGGAACTATATGCCATGGGTTGAAACTACTCTGTAATCATAAGAGAGAAGTAGCATTATATTTATTGATATAAAATAGTCATTTAACAAATCGTTTCAGATGGCTGGATACTTTTGATTATTGACTGCATAGTAGATAGGTTTAAATACATGTGTCCAGGAGACCCTCCCATTGAGTCCTGAGGTGCAGAATGGACACCTTTGCTTTCTGAGCTCCTTGAACCACAGAAGGAGGGAGCCCAGGTGCAGCTGAATCCACTCCTAGTCCCAGGCTTGGTCAACAGTTTATGTCTAAGTGATTGTATATGAAAAATAAAAGCTAACAAAGCTTAAAGATACTGTTAGTCACCAAGAATATCAGTAAGGCATCTTGATATCAAGGTGTGAGGGACTTCTGCATAGAGGTGACCTTGAGAGCTGTCCCTGCTCCAGGGGAGATGTTGTCAGCACACTGCCTTGAAGGGGCTCTTGGGCTGTTCACTATTTGTAAGATAAGAGAGAGTTTTCTGGTTTGTTTTTTTTTTTTTTTTGATGCTCAATTGCCCCTCAGTTTTTGTACCAGGTGTCTGGTAGTTAGTGTTAGTTCTTTCAGCATTCAGTTTGAGGCATCTGTGATTGTTATCCATCTGCAAGACAACCCAAACCATTCTGTGATGTTACCCTTTGGAGAAAGCTAAAACTCATCAACTGGAAGAAATAGGCTATCATTTCTTGAACTTTTAGCTTCTGTTACAGACTCAATGATGGGTAACCCTCCCATGTCATCTTGTTATTCTAATACTTGTTTATCTTATTTGTAGATTGAATTGTGTTTTGAATATATCAACTATTATTAAATGGATTTTTTTCTATTATTTATATTTAAAAACCCTTTATTAGGAAATGGAAGTAATTTATGGCAGCCTATGGCAATAGATGATATTTTCAGCCAGAAATTGTCACCTGTCTTCCTTCTCTCAAAGATCTTGCTAATATTTCTTCTGTGTTTTCCCACTTAAATCATCCAAAGATTGTGAGTATTTTTCTTTAGATGCCTTCTGATGTTGTCATTTTTGTCAGTCTTCAGCTGTTCAATTCTTGCTGGACTCCTGATTTCCTGCAGATTTTATTCTTTCTTCCCAGAATGATTCATGTTGTTTTCTAGAAGCAGAGTCTACAGTACATTTACTTCTTTTGTCATCAGAATACCCATGCCATTAGAAGTAATGCTGCTTCCTGTAATAACCTCTTGTTTCTTGTGCACTTAAAGATGTCATAATTTATCTCAACTATTGTTACAACATTCCTTTTATTTTCCATCTTTATTTGCGTGATTGCTTTTGTACTACGCCCTATTTTGTAGTGTTGGTGCTTTATCTGTCTCATATGATTTATTTTGGTTATGATTTTGTTTGATATCCTTGATTGCCCATATACACAGTGATTTAGAGTTTGTTAGCCAAGAAAATTAAGCATATGCTATCATATAATGCATGTAATTTTAAGTGGGAATGAACAATGTCGTATTTTATACAATTAATATCCTAAAAAAAAAAAAAGAATTAAAGATGAAACAAAGCAATCATTTTACTCAATATGTACTTATTTGTATAGCAAACAGGGAACTGAATCAAATCTAGCTTCAGATATCACTGATGTTTTCTTAAAAACTGAATTAAAACTAAAACACCTTGCTGTGTATGTGTATACATGACAATCAGAAATCAGAATCAAAAGGAAGTTGAGCTAACTCCTCACACCACTGAAACTGTCAGGGCTTTTTGTATGAAAAAGCTGCTGAAAGAACATTTTCCCTGTACATGCTCTGCAGATTGAAGTGCAGCAAGATGAATTTGCTTGTAGATTCATGGCTACAGTGTATGACAGCCTTTAAAACTTCCAGAGATTTTTCCTGTTCAATTTTGATTCTGCACTGATCTTACAATATTCTTCTCTGTGCTCAGTAAGCCTTGGTCAGCTACATGGACTTACTAGGCCTTTGTAAAAACAAACAAACAAACAAGCAAATTTCAGTATTAGAATAAAAATGCCCAATAAAAGGACATGAAATAAACAAGCTTCTTCTCTGTGGAACCTCATATAAAACACACACAGTAAGGTAGAGCACATAATAGTAACAGTAAATCAGTCACTATGCAGCAAAATGAAAAGGCTGCAGAAATGGAAAAATGCAAAGCATAACACTTGAAATAGGAAAATATGTACATTCTGGAATTAGGACTAGAATCTAAACTGCACGTAATCGCCATTCCTCAAGACAGCACAACTGCTCTCCATGGCACTTGTAGGAAGCCAGTCCTCAGTTCTGGAGGAATTTGCTCTTTAGCTCCAGTATCAGCCACCAAATGTTTAAATGATTTGTAGCCACTGTGGCCATTTTTTGTATTCCCTTCAATAGATTTGCCAAATAATTGTAGTTGCAAGTTGTCAAGGAAAGATGCAGATCATGCTAATCTCATATTCCCATGCTGTAACACTGCTATCCAACCCAGTCCTTTGGCCCTTTTCTCTTGACCAGTCATGAGTCAGCTCTTTTGCTGCATTTGAAAAGTATTTGAAAAGGGAGAAGATATGCTGCTGTGCAGTAACTACATTTGTGTGTTTTCCCTGTTACAGACTTGAGCCGACACCTTGACTTCACTGTGTGGGTGGACACAGAAGAGTCATGGAGTATTACCTTCAGCCTTCTCTCAGACATCCTCCCTTGGATTGGTGAGTGGAGCCTCACGTCTGTGCAGAAGGGGGTTGAGGGAGGGGCTGGAACAGCAGAAAGGAGTGTCCTTACTTAACCCAAAACGTGGTGCAGCTTCATGGGCCGTGTGGCAGATCCATGGAGCATCTCGTGGAGTCTCCAAACCAACTCAGACTGTGTGCTGGTGTAAACCATTCTAGGACACCAGTAAGGGAGGAATAACCCAACTGATTGTTCCATTAAAGTAGCTGGAGATATCACCCTTACACTGACAAAAGAAGGAAAACTGTATAATGTTTCTAGAAAAAGCTTACTCCAAGTACTAAGTATCAGTTCAGACATGCAAAAATGCATCTAGGTCGTTATGAAGAAGCAAGTTTTTGTACCAGATTCAAAACCTAAAGGACTTAAGGAACCTGTATTGGCTGAAAAACTTAAACAGAAATATATATATATAATTTTCTCTGCTGAAATTTCCATCTCCTTAAAAATTTGCAGTAAAAGTACTGAAAAGGATTTCCTTCTATAACGTGATCCTAAAAGTGATTTTCAACATAATCTCTGGATATTCAAACACATGCAAATATTTTGTCAGTGTGTGGAAAAAAGTTTTGCTCTTATAGGAGAAATGCTCATTAAATTTTCTCAGCTGGTATGGAAGCTAAACACCTGGGTAGATGCTATCCATTTCCTTGATAAATGTGGGGCTAAATGTTCTAGTTTTTACAGCTTGAAGCATGATGTTTGATTGTGTAAGGCGTTATTAGCCTGATCTGTATTAGGTTACTTACTAATGATGAAACAAATGCAAAATAATATGGTAAGAAAATCAGGAAAAATTCAAGAATTAGTTCTACAGCTTGCTTTGCACTCCTACACAAGGAAGTCCAGGCAGGAATTCTGCCTATGTCATACAAAAAAGTAGCAAAATGGACTACATTTTGAAATAATATATTTCATATAATTGTGAAACAAATTAAATTGTTTCCCTACTCATAGCAAGGTCTGCTGTCAGGAGTAAAAGTTGGAGAGGAATCTGGAAATGTGCAAATACTTTGAATTTTTGAAGTTAATTCCCATTGAAGTCATGATGAAAATCTTAATCTTATTTCAGAATTCCATGAGATCTGTCTTTCAACAGTATAGCCTTTGCAGATATGTATCATACACTTACTTAACCTGATACAAAATCACAGATCTCTTTCTCCTAACCTGCTCTCCTTGTCTTTGAGACGGTTGAAATGAATTGAGTTGTTCAGCTCTATTTTCGTACATATCATCTATAGCATAATTTGCAGCATTATGTTACAGTTTAATATTCACTTGAAATAAAAAACACTACTCCAATCAGCTATTGATTGACTAGTACTGCAATACTATAGATCTCTGGCACAACGTAAATTACAGTTTTATATATGATGCCACATTGCAAAGTATTAGCATTCAGATTAAAAACAAATGCACTCTGCCAAGAAAAGCTAGATTTAGGGCCAAAGCAATTGCATTTTGAAATACATTTATGCTTATTTTTTAAAGCATTTCAATTTGTGGAAAATGAAATTGAGGGTAAGCTTTTTGCCTAGTATGGTATACGTCAGGGGCTTACCCCAGGGGATAGAAAACAAGCCATGAAGTTAATTTAGCTTCAGAACTAGACAAAAACCTCTTGGCTCATATAGACAGTGCTCAAGGTTGAGAACAGCTGCAGATCTCTTAAAATCATGCTTTTTCTGCAAAATCAGTTTTTGTATTTCTGTATGCACCATCTATTTATAAACATTTCTATGGCTATGTAGAATCCTCTTTATAAATGGGTTATTTTAGAAACTATTTGATCCACTTAGAGTTTATTCAGTTTTTTTTTTTTTTTTTTTTTTTTTTTTTTTTTTCAAGGCCAGAATTAAATTTAAAGAGAAAAATCCCTCTTGTAAGATTTTTCTCACACAATATTTGAAAAGGTGATTTTTTTTTTGGTAGAAAAGCTCATGTCTTTTGATTTGAATAACTGTGTATACATAAGTCATTGTATTGAAAATACTTCTTGTTAAATAGTTTGAATTTTGATTAGAAACAAAAGCTCTCAGTGCTGATTTCCCATTTGTTTTTTTGAGGAAAAGCATCAGCCTTGACTAAAGCAGTTCCTTCAGGATGCATTTTGTCAGCTCTACCCAACAAAATCTACTGTTTTACAGGATTATAACAGTATTTCTAAAAGCAGAAAAATAATATAGAGACCAAAAAGTTGCAAGCTCCCTTGTCTACTTTTTCTTCTACTAAAAGTGACTAAAACTGATGTTCATTTTGTAAAAAGAATTTTTGCATAATGGTTCCTTCTGATTAGAAATCTGAAACTTTGAAATAGCACTGTTATTATTTGAAAATGATATCATGTATTGATTCTCCAGGAAGATATAATTTAATAACTGATGTTTGTGTGTTGTACCATTTGAATTATGAGTTGTTTTTGTATTCCTTAAGAAAATGTCATCTGGTATATACGCAATGTCATGCGGGCGCTCAGGTTGTTTCTGCTGTTGCGTACAAATCTCCTCCATGCACCACACAATTTTCTCAAGTATACTTGGAGGGAAAAAATGTCACTTTATTTTAAGAGTATTTTTGTTAGCAGGTCTTAGGTCAATAGATATCCAACATGGTGTGAGCATTCATGACTCCAGAATTATTGTATGTTAACTTCTCTTTAGTAGATAGTTAATAACCAACTTTTGATACAATTTTTGAGAAATCAAATAGAAAGAAATTTATTGGTGAAAACCTTCACAAAACATGCTTTGCTCTAAATGCCAAATGTTTGTTATAAGACACTATATTTCTCCACCCCACTGCTTTCCATTGTCAAGGCTTAATTCTCTGAGCATTTCTCAGGCTGGCTGTGTCACGTTCAAAAGCCACATTCTTTGAGAACCTGAGTTACCAATTTTGTCCAAATATTACAATGTGTATGTTAATTAAATGGTGCTTTAATTGACAGAACTTAAGTCAAGCACATTAACTTTGTCCAGTTGTCCAGAAATCCCTCTGTTTTATATAATTAGAATGAAGAGCTGACTTGCAGTGTTAATATCAGCCATGACATGCCAGTCTGTGAACATGCATCTGTTCCTGCTTTTTTTTTTTTATTCTTGCATTATTTATCAATTCTATCATTCACTGATGTTGGGTTTTGACAGTCTTCTCTGTAAACACCATGAAGATAAAGGAGTATATGAGTTAAAAAAAAAATATGGAGTCCCAGCAGGTCCATGAACTGGTATAGTTAACTAGGATCACCAGCAGGTTATTTAAGACACATATTCAATCCAACACAAAGGGCACACTTACACTGACATTTTCCTGGGATCATTAGGGAGGTTTTGTGACCTACTGATAGTTAATTCAATGTTGTATTGAAAACTAATATATATGGTTTTTTTTTACGCTGAGTGATCTTACAATGATCCATAATATTTTGAGGACAGAGAAGCAGATAACAATAAAACCAGTAAAAATACATGTAGAGATTTCTTTTAGAAAGTCATAGTTTTACTTCAGAATTCCCATTTTGCAATTGGTACTGTGTGGCAGATAATTTTGAAATGCTGCAGGAAGGGACAGGTTTTGAAAGTATCCTAATAATGCTGAAGCAATGAGTGTGGAAAAGATATTTTCCAAACTGTGCCCATTTTTTTAGAATCCACAAAGAGCATCACTGTTAGAATGGAAAATGAGTATTTACTTTGGAAAATTGCTTGCTTTTCGAACAAATCGTTGCTCAAGCTAGAGTGGAATAACACACATCATAAATTAATACTGTTAAAATGAATACTTGATATGAACCCTGGGAAATATTCTTTGCCATCAGGGTTTGAAAAAAGTAGGAGCTGTGCAGAAGCCAAAACAATTTGCATTGCTCGAAATCACGTAGGTTTCCCACCACTGATGAATTAGCAAATGCTTTGGATCAGCTCCATCTTGTAGTGTTGTTAGCGTTTACCTAAAAAGCAATAGTGCAAGAAGGTACAGTATGTGATTTGGAAGCAAGTCAATACTGAAGTTCAATAAGGAATTGTAAGTTAGAAGAGCAAAAAGAAATGCAATTCTGTTGACCCGAGCAGCTGATATCCATCTGATCACACTACATAGGCCAAAAAGGGCTGTCTGACACATTGCTTCTGCACACCTGTGAAGAGGCATTTATTCTTTTGTGTAAAGCTGCTGAAACCTCATAGGCCAAACTGTCAAAGCCTGGATCTCCTTTCCAGTTCTGGTTCTGTTTTTGCAATTGTTAACTTTTTTCTTCTGGTTCTCCCATGCTTATTTCTTGAGCTGTGCTAACGCTGCTGCTCCCAGAAATGGATGACTTATCTGTTCCAGAAATACTGAGCTCTAAACACTTGTGTTTGTGATACATTCATCAGTTGGCTACCTTCTGTCTTTTCTGCATGAATTAGTTTTATTTTTCTACTCAGAAAAGAGAAGGCATTAAGGTTAACCGATGTGAATCATGCATATTGTTGGGTTAGGATGGCCAAACGCTGTGCCTTATGCTATATTGTAATACTTCATGGTCAGCATTAAAAAAACCTGATCTGGTGGCAGTAAGTTTAGTTGGTAGAGATGGAGACAAACTCTGCACGCATCTTCCATGTGGAGTCTCTCCTCAGCTGTGGTGTCTGTGACCATGAACCCTGGACAGGAGCCATCCTCTGCACTCAGTTCCCTGGCCTGAAATTTGGTTTTAACCCTGGCTGGCACTGTGAAGCTGCACATAGAGCCATGATTCTCTATAGCCAAGAAGAGTAATGTTTGAGACGTAAGTATCTGGGCATTACTCTACTGAGACTTAGTCCAGCATTCTGATTAATTGGGGTCATCTGTGAAGCACTCGTTAAGTTGGTCTTAATATCTGAAACATTAAGATTTAAATCACTTGAAGTAATTCTTTGTCAACATTAAGTAAATTTCCTAGTTTCAACCAGTGTGTATCTCAAGAATTTATCTACAAGGAATCTAATTCCTC